GGGCGAAGTGTCGCAAGGGGGCGCGGGGCCGGGGCCTAGGCGAGGGGCGACGGGCGACGGGCCTAGGCGAGGGGCGTCGGGCCTAGGGCGAAGTGGCTGAGGGGCCACAAGCCTAGGGGCGACGGGGCCGCGGGGCGAAGTGTCGCGAGGGGCCGCGGGGCCGGGGCCTAGGCGAGGGGCGACGGGCGACGGGCCGCGACTGGCGACGGGCCTAGGGCGAAGGGGGGGCCGTGGGGCCAGGGGTCTAGGCGAGGGGTCGGGGCGACGGGTCACAGCGGGCGACCGGGGGGGGGGGGGGGTGTCGCTACGGGCGACGGGCGACGGGGGGGCCGTGACGGGCCTAGGGCGACGGGGCTCGCTACGGGCCTAGGGCAACGGGAGGCCGGGCTAGGGGCGACGAGCGACAGGGGCCGGGCTAGGGGCGACGCCAAGGGGCAACAGGCCTAGGGGCGGGCTAGCAGGGCAGCAGGTGGTGGGCCCAAGAAAACGGTCCTAGGAAGGGACCTGCTCTGAAACCATGTCAAAGTTACGAATGAGAATGAATGGACTTTGAAACAGTTGGGTACAAGTACTAACCCTAATTGGGTTGTACCCCTTATGGGCTACCCCACTATAGCCTACACAAATGTAAAAGCTATGATGTTCTGACAACGATTTTACAAGGGGTGCGCTTCTAATGGAGGATCGGCCATAAGCGCATTGCTCCATGTATAAGCGCATGCGCTTTTAATAGGCATGCGGTTATATCCGGGGCGATACGATACAAGCATACGGTACCGTAAGCCCCCGGATATAAGCGCATGCCTCGGATAAGCGCCGGCGCTTATAAAAGGATGACGGCGCTTACTGTATATCCGGTCCTTGATTATAAGCCCACGCCTGAAGGCTTACGGATTATAAGCGCCACCCTCTGTTTGTTTTTGCTATGATTGTACTGAGATCGTTGTAACAAAACTCACATTTTCCATTCCCACATTATTGAATTTCGATGCACTTCACCTCGCTCGGCTCATTGTCTGCGCGTCCAGTCAGAATGAGCTGTCGGCAGCGTAAGCTGGCTCATTCTGACTATGTGTGTTGGCAGGGAATCATTCCCTGCCAACTGGCGTGAGATTCTCAATTCCAGCCCTGTATAGTTTCGACTCGATTCAAATTACAAAAACGTGATCTACAATTTGGTGTAAGAAATACGCATTTCATAAATGTCATTATATAAGCGCCGGCGCTTAAAAAAATCCTCGATTATAAGCGCACCCCCTAAAAAACAGTGTTTTTTTACACCCCCAGGGACGCTTCTATCCGGGGGCTGACGGTACAGCGCCTCTTCAGCAGCCTCTTGCCATCACATAGCCTTGTTGTTCAGCTGGGCCTGCATATATCATCTTCATGCCTTCTCAAACAAAACAATTCCATTTCACAGAAATTTGTTATTTTGGGCAAACGGATTCTTAACAGGCATATGCCTACTTGTTCTGCTGGGCCTGCATCTGCTCGGGAGTCCATGCCTTCTTTATGCTCAGTGCATGGATGTGTGGCAGCTCGTCGCTGAGAGCACTGTTCACCATGCGATGCCGCTCCAGCAGCCTCTTGCCCTCAAACAGCGGCGACACCACCGCCACGTCAAATGCCGTGCCACAGTGCCCTGCTGACGTGTCAATTACCACCTGCCAGGTCCCACGGAGAGGCCGACAAGGGGGGGCCGGGGGAAAGGGGGGAGGGGGGAAGAGGGGGGAGGCGGGGAGAGGGGGGAGGAGGGAAGTGGGGAGAAAGGGGAGATCGGCATAGGGAGCTGATGTGTGCCCATGGAGGGTCGTGTATGGATGTGTACATGGGTGCATGCAGGGATGGGAGACGTTTGGGGTCCATCCAAAAGCCATGCACGGAGGGGAGGGGTGGTGACGAGACGATCTGTGGACGGGAACCCAAAGAGAAGAAGTGGAGTGTTTTACACTGTAGATCACCCTCCCACCACAACACAGCACCACTGCACCATATCATCCATTATCACAAACGCTACCGTTCCCCAAAAGCCAGAGTCGCCTCCTACCCTCCTCTCAACGAGGCCCATGGCTCCTCCCCTGAGCTCCTCTGTCACTCCGCCCCACAGGACCTGGCACCGCTCGCTCAATGACACTTGCACAACCCCCCCCCTCCCACTATCACCCTGCCCCCACCTCTCACCCATTCATCGCCCTACCACCCCCTCCCACCCTGGGCCAACCCCAATCATACTACCACCCAACCATCACATCAACACACCATCTCCGTGTTTCACCACGCATGGGTCTCACCACCACTCCACCTCTCACCACCGCACACCACCCCCGCGTCTCACCAGCTCCTGCGGCTGCAGCGCGGCTCTGAGCCGCGCCTCCACGCGCCCCTGCATGTCGTCCATCGCCGCGCCTCCCCTCTCCCCTCTCCGCTCCTGCACCTCGCCTCCCCGCGCGCACGCCTTGCCTCCCCTCTTCCGCTCTGCACACTCTCTAAAAGGGCAGGGGCCGTGCGCAGGGATTTGCTGATGGTCACTCCGCCTGCTCCTTGCGGTCCGCGCGCCTCAATGCCCTCGGCGGGCCCTCAACGCGCAAGACCGAGTGCAGCTGTTGCCACGCGCTGCCACGTGGAAGGCACGCAGGTAGGACGGGTTAGGGTTAGGGTTAGGATTGGCGCAATAGAGTCGCGAGGAGGAACTGCTGCTGGGGTCTCAGTCGCTCTGACGTGGGGCGACAGGGAGAACGAAACAATGGGGAAGGGAAGATGAGTGTTTTTTAGACGCCTCAAAATCACCCTTCTTTCACGCGGCGAGGAGGCACTGCTGCTGGAGTCTCAGTCGCTCTGACGTGGGGCGACGGGAGGGACGAAACAATGGGGAATGAAAGATGAGCGGAGAGAGAAGGAAGCAGGAGATAGTGGGGAGATGGACGCTGAGCCGACAGAGGGGTGGGAGAGGATGAGCGGAGCGCTTATACAGAATGAACCAACTCGACGGCTAAAGAACAAACGAGACCGACGAGACATGGAGCCATCACCGTGAGCAATGGTCCATTCCCAGTGGGATGCTCTATGAAGCCGTTTACTTCAGGGATGGACTAAAGGAACGTACCAAGACTCGTGCGTGCTCTAATCCGTCACCACGTATGACTGCTGGAACCCTTCAGAAATTACCTCAGACTACCTCAGACTACCTCAGAATAACTCAGATTACCTCAGGAACAGATTATAGGCTGGAGAGCTTGATAGGCAAACTTTCTTGACAATAAGCATTCTCTTCTCTAGGCTGGAATTTGGCCAGCTTTCTTGACGAGTGTTGCCACGCGCGCCGTAGGGGGGGCTTCTCTGTACTTGTCCGGAGTTTCATTCCTTACAAAGTTTGAGATGTGATATATTGGTTAATATCACAAAACAAGATAACAGTAATTATTATCAAGCTGTACATTCATGAGATAAGTCATAGCATCAGTTTTGAAGGTGGGGGTTGGCACTAGAGTGGGAGTGGAGATATTGACACACGCCTTTCGCTCGGCTCTGACTACTCACCCAGACTGGTGCGCGCTGCAGATCGATGTTGCGAATGCATTCAACTCCTTCCACCGACGTGCCATGTTTGAGGGGCTGCGGGAGTCCCCCTTTTCAGGTCTCATCCCATTCTTGCATATCTTTTATGGGACACCTAGTGACCTCTACCTTCAGGCAGGCCCGTTTGTAGAGACTCTCGCCTCAACACGAGGGTCCCGGCAGGGGGACCCACTTGGGCCTTTCCTCTTCGCATTCACGCAGCAGCTGGTCCTGGAGCCGGTCACTAAGGAGTTCGCCGACTTGCTTTTCTTGAGCTATGCGGATGATACCTACATTTTGGGGCTGGCGGCTAGAGTTTTGGGGGCGTTTGGCGCGTTACGAGAGCGGCTGGGGGGGGTCGGGCTGGAGGTGCAGGCTCACAAGTGTCGATTTTGGGTACGTGATGCCTCCGATGCGGTACAGGAGTTGCCTTTGGATATGCAGCGGGCGGAGGAAGGGCTCACTGTGGTAGGGGTCCCCATTGGAGAGGAGAACTGGGAGGTGGCTCGTCTGCGGAGCGGCTTCGTCAATTGCAGGTGCCTTGCCATGGCTCCCTCTGCTCGACCACCCGCAGATGGCGTCACACCTCCTGGCTATTGCTGTTTCAGCACGGCATGTGCCACCGCGATCAGTGGTCGAGGCCTTTCGTGACTGGGATAGTAGTCTGGAAGACTGTTTTGAACAACTCTTCCCGTCTGGCACCTGGGAGTACGACCCTGGCCGGTCTAGGTTGGCCCGCCTGCAATTGCACTTCCCTGTTCGCCTTGGTGGCTTCGGAATTCGGGCAACGACTTCCTTGAGTCCGCTGTCTTACGCTTGTGGGTGGGCACAGGCAGCGCGTGACATTGCACAGTTGGGGGTAGCCGGCGAGGAGGCGATGTTTGCGAACTATCTCGGGACCGAAGGGGGGGGGATTTTCTTGACCCGTGGTTCTCCAAGAGCCTCGTCCAGCTGCCTAAGGCTGTGCGCCAGGAGATGCCGAGCTAGCCCAGCTGAGTTGCTGCCACCCCCCCCCCCCCCCCCCCCCCCCGTTCGTCTCTTCCAGGCTCGGCTGCGGCAGTTGGCTATGGAGGAGCTCCAGTCTGCGCACCGTTTGGCTCGTGGCGACGCGACCTATCCCGTTTCACTTCCCTTCATGGCCCAGGGGCTGGTGCATGGGTCTCGGCGGTTCCAGCTCATGCGGATTTCACCTTCACAGCGACTGAGTGGGGCATTGTGTGAGAACCACTCCCTCGGCTCCCACACACCCACCCCCCTCAGCGGCAGCTGCAGCAGTGGGAGACGAAGGTGGAGGAGGAGGAGGGGACGGTTCACACACCCGCCACCCCCATACCCGCCACCCCGCAGTTGCACCCACACCCGCCACTGCTGCACCCGTAGCAGGGGGAGGTAGGAGAAGGGAGGGGGGAGGGGGGGGGTGGGCCGGGGGGGGGGGGGGGCTGTGCATGGCGCGTGCAGAGGGCAGCAGGGCGCACGGGGCGAACAGGGCAGCAGGGCGCACAGGGCTGCAGGGCAGCAGGGCGCACAGGGCTGCAGGGCAGCAGGGCGCGCGGGGCGCGCAGGGCTGCAGTGCGCACAGGGCTGCAGGGCAGCAGGGCGCACAGGGCTGCAGGGCAGCAGGGCGCGCGGGGCGTGCAGGGCTGCAGTGCGCGCAGGGCGCGCAGGGCAGCAGGACAGCAGGGCGCGCAGGGCGCGCAGGGCTGCAGGGCGCACGGGGCGCAGCAGGGCTGCAGGGCACGCGCAGGGCAGCAGCAAGGGCTGTAGCGGCAGCAGCAGGGCAGCAGGGTGCACAGGGCTGCAGGGCAGCAGGGCGCACAGGGCTGCTGGGCAGCAGGGCGCGCGGGGCGCAGCATGGCTGCAGGGCGCGCGGGGCGCGCAGGGCAGCAGCAAGGGCTGTAGCGGCAACAGCAAGGGCTGTAGCGGCAGCAGCAGGGCAGCAGGGCGCACAGGGCTGCAGGGCAGCAGGGCGCACAGAGCTGCAGGGCAGCAGGGCGCGCGGGGCGCGCAGGGCTGCAGTGCGCGCAGGGCGCGCAGGGCAGCAGGACAGCAGGGCGCGCAGGGCGCGCAGGGCTGCAGGGCGCGCGGGGCGCACAGGGCAGCAGGGCAGCAGGGCGCGCGGGGCGCAGCAGGGCTGCAGGGCACGCGGGGCGTGCAGGGCAGCAGCAAGGGCTGTAGCGGCAACAGCAAGGGCTGTAGCGGCAGCAGCAGGGCAGCAGGGCGCGCGGGGCGCGCAGGGCTGCAGTGCGCGCAGGGCGCGCAGGGCAGCAGGACAGCAGGGCGCGCAGGGCGCGCAGGGCTGCAGGGCGCGCGGGGCGCACAGGGCAGCAGGGCAGCAGGGCGCGCGGGGCGCAGCAGGGCTGCAGGGCGCGCGGGGCGCGCAGGGCAGCAGCAAGGGCTGTAGCGGAAACAGCAAGGGCTGTAGCGGCAGCAGCAGGGCAGCAGGGCGCACAGGGCAGCAGGGCGCACAGGGCTGCAGATCCCCTCCCCCCCACCGCTGCACCCGCAGCAGGGGGATGGAGGAGAAGTGGGGGGGGGCGGGGGGGGGGGGGCTGGGGGGGGGGGGGGGGGGGGGGCTGATGCTGCAACTCCCCTCCCCCCACTGCAGCTGCAGATCCCCTCCCCCCACTGCAGCTGCAGATCCCCTCCCCCCCATTGCTGCACCCGCAGCAGGGGTGGAGGAGAAAGGGGGTGGGCGGGGGCGGGGGGGGCTGGTGCTGCAGATCCCCTCCTGCCTCCCTCTGAACCTCCAAGCTCCCCCCCCCTCCCAACACAGGGTGCGGCAGGGAGAGAGAGAGGAGAAAAGGGTGGGGGGGGGGGGGGGGGGGGGGCGGTGCAGGAGCCGCTCGGGCGACAGCAGGACGCGCCACACCCGCCACCCCCATACCCTCCCCCCCACTGCTGCACCCGCAGCAGAGAGATGGAGGAGAAGGGGGGGGGGTGGGGGGGGGGGGGGGGGGGGGGGGGGGGGGCTGGTGCTGCAGGTCCCCTCCCCCCACTTGCCGTAATCCGCAGCAGGGGGAGATAGGAGAAGGGGGGGGGGGGGGGGCTGGTGCTGCAGATCCCCTCCCCCCCCACTGCTGCACCCGCAGCAGGGGGGAGGTAGGAGAAGGGGCGGTGCAGGAGCCGCTCGGGCGACAGCAGGTTGGCCACACCCGCCACCCCCATACCCTCCCCCACTGCTGCACCCGCAGCAGAGAGACGGAGGAGAAAGGGGGGGGGGGGGGGGGCTGGAGCTGCAGATCCCCTCCCCCCCACCGCCACACCCGCAGCAGGGGGATGGCAGATCCCCTCCCCCCCACCGCTGCACCCGCAGCAGGGGGAGGTAGGAGAAGGATGAGGGGGGGGGGGGGGTCGGTGCTGCAGATCCCCTCCCCCCCTCTGCTGCACCCGCAGCAGGGGGAGGTAGGAGAAGGGTGGGGGACCTGGTGCTGCAGATCCCCTCCTGCCCCCCCTGAACCTCCAAGCTTCCCCTCCTTCTCCCCGCCATCCCCATGGAGGGGGGGGAGGGGGGGGAGGGGGGCGGGGGCGGAGCTGCGCGTGCGACTGTAGGGCACGCGGGCGGGAGGAACCCCCTCTTGCCACCCCCTCACCCACCACGTTGCAACAGGGCACCGGGGCCGCGGTTAGGGGCGGCAGGTCGCGAGGGGGCATGGCTAGGGGCGACGGGGCCATGGCTAGGAACGGGGCCGGGCGCTGGGTAGGTACGGGGCCGGGTGCTGGGCAGGTACGGGGCCTGGCGTTGGTCAGGTACGGGGCCGGGCGCTGGGCAGGTATGGGGCCGGGCGCTAGGCAGGTACGGGGCCGGGCACTGGGCAGGAACGGGGCCGGGCGCCGGGCAGGTATGGGGCCGGGCGCTGGGCAGGTACGGGGCCGGGCTCTGGGCAGGTACGGGGCCGGGCGTTGGGCAGGTACGGGGCCGGGCGCTGGGCAGGTACGGGGCCGGGCGCTGGGCAGGTACAGGGCGGGGCGCTGGGCAGGTACGGGGCCGGGCGCTTGCAGGTACAGGGCCGGGCCTGGGGCAGGTTCGGGGCCGGGCGCTGGGCAGGTACGGGGCCGGGCGCTGGGCAGGTACGGGGCCGGGCGCTGGCAGGTACAGGGCCGGGCGCTGGGCAGGTTCGGGGCCGCGCGCTGGGCAGGTACGGGGCTGGGCGCTGGGCGTGGAACGGGGCCGGGCGCGGGCTAGGTACTGGGCCGGGCGCGGGGCTAGGTACGGGGCCGGGGGTTGGGCAGGTACTGGGCCGGGCGCTGGGCAGGTACGGGGCCGGGCGCTGGGCAGATACGGGGCCGGGCGCTGGGCAGGTACGGGGCCGGGCGCTGGGCAGGAACGGGGGCCGGGCGCTGGGCAGGTATGGGGCCGGGTGCTGGGCAGGTACGGGGCCGCGCGCTGGGCAGGTACGGGGCCGGGGTGCGGGCTAAGTACGGGGCCGGGCGCGGGCGTTATACGGGCCGGGCGCGGGCTAGGTATGGGGCCAGGCGCTGGCGACAGACGGGGCCGGGCGCTGGCTAGGGTCGGGGCCGTGCGCTGGGCTAGGTATGGGCCGGGCGCGGGGCTAGGTACGAGCCGAGCGCGGGCAAGAGACGGGGCCGGGCGCGGGCAGGGTACGGGCCGGTCGCGAGGCTAGGTACGGGCCGGGCGCGGGGCTAGGAACGGGGCCGAGCGCGGGCAGGGTACGGGCCGGTCGCGAGGCTAGGTACGGGCCGGGCGCGGGCGACGGAATCGACGGGGCCAGCGGGGCCGAGGGGCCGAGCTAGGGGCGACGGGCCAAGGGGCCGAGCCTAGGGGTTATGGGCGACGCCAAGGGGCGACGGGCCGGGGCCTAGGCTAGCAGGTACGTAGGTGGTGGGCCCATTGATCTTAGGTCCTAGAACTTATTGCTCTTAATACCATGTGAGAATCCTAGCGTGACTTAGGCTTAGGAGCCATAGCTAGGTTAGACTGTCGAGAGGATTGTGCAAGGGAGAATCGAGAAAGGGATGGTTTCACTATAGGAAGTTGGGATACAAATAGCAAACCCTAAATTGGGTTGTACTCACTACATAGTACCCCACTGCAGGCTAAACAACAAATACATTCTGACACATTGCTGCAGCTGTACTTCTTGGCCTTCCGATCCAGCAGCTATGCGTGGCAGGGCGGTGTGTGTGCGGCACGGTGTACGCGGACCCGACAGACCCGCATCATACGCTGCGATCAGCACGGCCCGCCAGACCCACATCATGCGATGCGATGAGGTGAAGTGGTGGTGAAGATTTCGAAGGCGTAGGGAGCGGTGGTGACAATGGAGGATGACAGGTTGTTACCAGGAAAGTGTGTGGATGTTGTGGTGTGTTGATTGATGGATGGAGAGGCGTACGCCTTGGAGACCAGTTTTGCAGACCCCTTGTCGCTCTCTCCATCTTTGGTTGGGCAGTGCGGGCGGTCTATGGGTGTTGCGGCCAAGGAATGGGAGCGGCAGAAGGCAAACAATTACGCGCCATTACTGGCGAGCAATAGGAGTGTGCAGTTCACACTTTTGATTGTTGAGACATGGGGGTGCTTGGGTGGACGTTTCAGGCGTTGGTTGAGTCAGCAGAGGGATGCTCACTTACGGTTAGCTGTGTCGCGAGGGGCCTGTCGGGAAGATGACATGTCGTTTTCGTCATACCTGTTAGGGTCTTTGAAGATGCTTGTTGGGGTGGTGCTACAACGGGCGCAGGCTCGAGTTATTTTGTTGCGAGTTGCGTCGTCTATGGGGGGGGTGGATGTTGACTTGGTAGATAGGGAGAGGGAGGACAGCGAGGATGAGAGGGGGGCTCTCTGGGTGGAGGCCCCGTATTTGTCGAACGCATGGATGTGAGGGGGTGGGTGAGGGGGAAGGGGAGGGGGTGAGGGGGTGGGGGTTGGTGAGGAGGGTGCAAAGGAACGTGGGTTGTGAGGGGCATGATCTTTTTTCCTTGAGGTAGGGTGTTGGGTTGTTGTTGAATGGTTCCACGTTTGACTCACATCGTCCACTCTGATGGCCTATTTCTACGGGCTACTGTGACACCTTCCCTTCCCCTCCCGGCATCTTGCCAAGACAACCCGCTGTCAAAGTACAATCTCACTTGTAGGCTATAGTGGGGCACTCCTTCTGGGGTACAGCACTTCTAGGGTTACTACTTGTACCCTAACTCTTGCTAATCCAATCATTCCTGCACAGTTATTCTGAATCCAATTGCAACTTTGTGCACATATCGAGACCGATACCGTAAAAAAAAGGGCAGGGTACAGCACTTCTAGGGTTACTACTTGTACCCTAACTCTTGCTAATCCAATCATTCCTGCATAGTTATTCTGAATCCAATTGCAACTTTGTGCACATATCGAGACCGATACCGTAAAAAAAAGGGCATTCTTCCCTCGAGCTCGCCGCCATGGCGGCTTACCGTTTGCCTGGAACTCACATTGCGTGAAGCCCGATCATCAGTTTGCTTTAATTCTACCGGCATTGTCTTCACTACACCTTTACGAAGAAGTCTATACCTATTATGTGTTCATCATGCGAACATTGCGTGGACTTCTCAAGGGTGTCCTACGCTGGTCCAAGTTTCAAAGCTCAAGGCTAACGCGTGGTTCTCTAGGTTACGGCATAACATCAAGGAACCACCTAAGCTAACATTCATTGGTTACGCAGATGCTGTGCAACGGGATGATCCCAAAGTTTTATCTTCAGCGTCACAACATCTATGTCAGGAAAAATGGTCTTCCACAGGCGCTCTTCACGTACTTAACTCTGCTGTGCTCAGACAACCGGCTCATCAGTTTCCTCAGCTCATTTCTTCAGAGCTTTTGCCAGTCTATTGTCATCATTGCACGATGCCTCCGAAAGGCTCTCGCGCTAAGGCGGTGGTTGATGCTCCTGCTGGTGGTTGTGATCCTGCAAGCATGTCGACTCCAAGCAAGAGAAAGGAGGTCATTGACAACCTTCCGTCTGAAGCGGAGGTGACAGCTGGAAGTTCTGGTCTCACCATTGAGGAAAAGCTGCAAGCGCTGGCTACGGTTGCTTCGGATGACACGTTTATTGAGGATGATTCAGACGAGGAACTTGAGATTGACATGACCATGAGTGCTCACCCGCATTTGCGCTTCACGGCGATTTTGCTCTTCCCGGTTATTCCTTCTCGCGAGGTTGCTTCGGTGATTCTGACCGTGAGGATGCTGATGAAGCGTGTCTGGTCTAACCTGCTCACTGATGATGTCCTCGCCTCGGTGAAGTTCCAGGAGCTGACCCCCGCGTGGGTCGCGAAGGCCCGCTACAGCCGGCTTCAGGTCTCCTTCCTGCATGAGTCTGACGCGGTGAAAATCAAGCAAACGGCGGTGGAACACAAGCGTCAGAACGGATCGACACTTCATTGTTTCTGGCTGCACCAGGAGGATGCTGCTTACCTTCGCAACAAGGCTTCGGGCCCGCAGCTGCTGGAGGTCTACTTTAAGGATGTTCCCGTGGATATCCCGCCGGAGCTGGTCAAGGAGGTCATGGTTACTCACCCGCTCAGGATGCGGAAGCAGTCTGCTTTTGCTGAAGGCCACTGCTTCCACCGTGTCCTTCACCCCGTCACCGGCGCTGACACTGATCGGATCAAGGGGCTGGTGGTTCAGCACGCTGGCGACAAGCATCGCTGGCGTCATGAATTTCGCCATCAGCTGCTGGGAGGGACGACACTGTTGGCCCACTACCCGTTGCTATCCTGTCCGCTCTGTGGTGGCCACCATTATGACAAGTTTCATAATGTTTTCATCACGGAGCATCAGAATAACATAGGGAAGTGGAGTTTAACTGTGGGTCGGGTCCATAGGATCAATGGTAACCGCTGCTTACGCTTGTTGGGTCGTTGCTTTACCTTTCGTATCTTGTCAGTCACTGACGCGCCGCTTTCCCCTCGCAGCTGCTTCTCTTCGCGCTTCTCCGCTTATCACTCCGTTACTGCTAGATGCGGCTTTCGTGCTGATCTCCACTGGGAGCAATCGGGAGGAATGGCTATGTACTCTCGAGAGCTGCGGAAAGACCCATGGCAAGTCCTTCATGGCTGCAGTGGATCACATCACGTCGGCAAGCCATCTGCTGGGCTTGGAGAAGTTGGGTGCGGCCACTCGCAGCTCCCTGGAGAAGCTTGGTCTGCACGTCATCCGAAAGGAGTACCAGATCTGAGCTACCTACCTGCATGTCGGAAGCAGAGTTGTGTAGCAATGGCGTTTTCCCTTGGCTGTGTAGTTGTACCTGGTTGTGCCTGCCCGTGGATGCGATGGGGCCTCAAAGCAGTGGTCAAATGAATGCGAAAAGCCATCTTTCATTTGCAGGCCTGAATGTCAACGGCCTGGGGGACGGGAATAAGCAACAGCGAACAAAAAACTGGTTGAAGAAGGCAGCGGACATCGTTATACTGTCCGACTCTAGGCTCACAGATGATCACCCTTATTGGAATTCACTTCGACAGCCGCAGATCCTGGTCGCCTCACCCACTGCTAAGGCTGGCGGTGTTGCTCTGATCTGTCGGAGGCACGGCCTGTCATTGCACAACACTCTCATTCATCCATCCGGCTGGCTGGTAGCGGCTGAACTTCACCTTGACACCTTTCACATCACCTTGGTTGCGGTTTATTCCTGGCTGATGCTGCTGAGCGAAAGGTGTTCATTCGCAGAGTGTTGGGTCCGGTGGTTGACGCGGTGCAGCCGGGCTCTCACCTGCTGAGCATGGGGGATTTCAACTTAGTGGAGGATCCGCTGCTAGATCGGACATCGAGGAAGGGAACCACGAAGGAAAATGAGGAGCTGTACTGTCGCTGTGATACCTTCCGCCTCTCAGATGCTTTTAGAGTGCTACATCCATATAAGCGGGAATTTACCTTCTACTCTTGCGCCAATCAATCCAGTTCGCGTATAGACATGGCACTTATCTCACAGTCGTTGTTGGCGCACGTCGAGTTCGTCTCGCACATCATGCCGGCTGACCCCATCTCTGACCACAGTTTCGCAGTGAAGGCGGCTTTCAGGATGAACACACGGGTGCAGTTGGGCCCTGGGCTCTGGAGGCTACCTGCATGTTGGACAGACCGGGAGTCAGGAAGGTGATTGAAGCTGTGGAACGGCAGGCAGACTCATGTGGGGAGGGCTTTGAGCTTCTAATCTCCCGCCTCAACACCGCTCTGTGAGTGTACGCGAAAGA